TGGACAATATCATTAATGTCACATACAAGTAAAATTTTGTTAAAGATAATGAAAAAAACTGCTGCAACTATATATTGAAAGAGGACTGCTAGAGATTCAAGCCAGAATCACGTGAGGACATGGAACAATGGATATTATTTCTTATGTCAGATGACTCTTGGCTGATAGCAGAGAATACTAGAAAAATGTTTACCTGTGCTTTATTGACTATGCTAAAGATTTCCATTGTGTGGATCTTGACAAGCTATGGACAACATTGGGGAGAATGAGTAGTCCAGTACACTTAATTGTGCTTATGAGAAACCTATACCTAGGCCAAGAGGCAGTTGTTCAGACAGAACAATGGAACACTGAATGGTTTAAATTAGGAAAGATGTGCACCAGGGTTATATTCTGTTACCATACATATTCAGTCTGTATGCTGAGCACATAATCTGAGAAGCTGGATTATATGAAGAAGGGTGTGGTATCTGGATAGGAGAAAGACTCATTAACAACCTGCAATATGCAGATGATATAACCTTGCTTTTTGAAAGTGAAGAGGATTTAAAATACTTACTGAATAAATCAAAGACCACTGCCTTGGGTATGGGTTGCCCCTCAATGTAAAGAAAACAAAAATCCTTACCACTGTACCAATAAACAACATCCATAAAATGGAGAAAAGATCAAAGTTGTCAAAGACTTCATTTTGCTTGGATCAACCATCAACACTCTGGAAGCAGTAATCAAGAAACCAAATGATAATCAAGGCAAATCTGCTGCACAAGACCTTTTTAAAGTGTTGAAGACCAAAGAATGTCAGTTTGAGGACTAAGGTGTGTCCTACCCAAGCCATGGTATTTTCAATAACCTCATATGCATCTGAAAGTTGGACAGTGAATAAAGAAGACCGTAGAAGAATTGATGCAGTTTAGTTATGGTGTTGGAAGAGAATATTGAAAGTGCCATGGATTGCCAGAAGAACAAACAGATCTTTGTTAGATAAAGTACAGCCAGGATGTCCAGACTTCGTCTCCCATACTGTGGACATATTACATAAGACTATAGGTGGAATCCTGAACAGTATCCAGAATCTTCAGAGGTAGGAAATTTGGAGGGACCATTCCCTGCAGAATGATATTTTGACAAAGTGACAGTTGGAGAAGAAGAGGAAGGCCCCCAACGAGGCAGATTGGCACAGTGACAGCAGCAGGGGGCCCCACCACTTGCCTTGATGTCTCCTGGGCGAGCAACTTGCTTGTTCTTATAGTAATCAGTCGGTCTGCCTATATTGTTTTGTATTTTTCTGTCGGTCTTTCTTTCAAGAAGTATCTTCTGTTTTTCTAGCCACTCCAGGCTGGTCTGCCCATCCTTTCAAGTGGAAATTTCCCACCTCTGAAGATTCTGGATGCTGTTCAGGATTCCACCTATAGTCTTATGTAATGCAGAGGCTCAGCAGTTGGCCTCCTTCACTGGGCATATTGTAGCCCATTTTAGGTATTCTAATCAGTTATAGGGAGAAGATGGACTTACAAGCTTTCTATGGTGATATTTCTGGCTATTCCTTTCTCTCTCCCTCATGTCTGTTTTATAATGGTATGCAAGGGAAACCAAGATTCAAAAGACAGTCAAAGGCTTGTATTTTTTATCATTTCTTTCAGTTTAAGAAATGCTGAGTTTTTTCTTCCCTTTTTGTTTTATAACTCCACGTCAGTACACATTTCATTTGTCTTCTGGAGCTGTCCTTCGAAATTTTCTGTTCAGTTTCATTCTTTTCATTAGCTTTAGCATCTCAACACTGGAGAGCAAATTTCAGTCTCTGCTGACATCCATTTTGGTCTTTTCTTTCTCTCCTGTCCTTTTAATAACTTTTTGATTTCTTCCTGTATGATGTTTTTGATGACATCCCACACATCTTCTGGTCTTCAGTCATTAGTGTCTAATGCATTAAATCTGTTCCTGAGATTGTCTCTAAATTTTAGGGGACTTATTAAAGGTCATATTTTTACTTTCATGGAGTTGATTTCAAATTTTCTTCAGCTTCAGCCTACATGTGAGCAGTTGATGGTCTGTTCCACAGTCTGCCATTGGCCTGGTTTTGGCTGATGATAGAGCTTCTCCACATCTCTTCCCAAACATTTAATCCATTTGATTCCTTTGTTTTCCATCTGATGAGGTCCATGTTTATAGTTGTCTTTTATGTTGTTGAAAACTGATATTTGCAATGAGTAAGTCATTGGTCTTCTAAAATTCTATCATGCAATCACCAGACTCATTTCTGTCATCAAGGCCATATTTTCCAACTACTGATCCTTCCTTTTGGTTTCCAACCTTTGCATTCCAATCACCAGTAATTACCATGTCATCTTGATTGCATGTTTGATCAACTTCAAAGTGATGAAGTTGATTTAATTCTCCAGTTTGATAATCATTGGCTTTATTGGTTGATCTGTAAAATTGAATAATAGTGTTGTTAACTGGTCTTCCTTATAGGTGTGTTGATATTAGCCAACCACAGATGACATTGTACTTAGAGATAGATCTTGAAATATTATTTCTGCTAATTAATGTGATGCCATTCTCTTCAATTTGTCATTTCCAACATAATTGTTGTGAAGTGCCGTCGAGCTAGTTCTGACCCATAGCGACCCTGTATGGGGTTTCTGAGGAGCAGCTAGTGAGCCTGAACTGCCAACCTTGCAGTTCAAACTGCTTTGCAGTCTGGCACATTAACCTACAGCGCCACACCAGGACTCCGACATAATAGACTGATTCAAAATGGCCAATATCAGTCCCTTCCTCACTAATGCCTATGATATTGATCTTTATGTGCTCCATTTCATTTTTGAGGACTTATAATTTTCCTGGATTCATACTTTGTGCATTCCCTGTTGTTATTATTGATGGTTGTTTCCAGCTATTTTTCCTTATTTTGAGTTGTGCTTCATCAGCAAATGAAGGTCCCAAAAGCTTACCCTATTCACATCATCATGGTCAACTGCTCTTTAAAGAGGCAGTCTTCTGCAGCTGTATTTTGAATGCTTTCCAACCTGAGGGACTCATCTTCCGCCCCTATGTCCAACAGTATTTTGGTGCTATTCATGATGTTGTCTTCCTGCACTATATCTGTTAATGTTCCTCTGTTATTCATATGGTTTTCAGTGACTAAACATTCAGAAATAGTCTGCCTTTCCTTCATATTCTGTCTTTGTTTGAAAAGTCCGCTGAAACCTGTGCACTGTGGGTGACCTGCTGGTAATTAAATTAGCAGTGGCATAGCTTCTAGCATCATAGTAACACCCAAGTCAACACAGTTCAACATAGTGACAGATGAGTGGTGGTCTTGTTGATATATGTAGTTCTTTTCTTAAAAAAACTTTTTCCGTACTATTCCATTATTTCAATATACACCAGTTATCTGTTATTTTGTTAATGGAATTTAGTTTACTTTTTATATTTTGACAATACCTCAGTGAATATTAATACTTCAGTGAATATTAATAAACAAGTTTGATTTTTTAGTACAAATGAGAGTTTCATATATTTATGAGAAATATTGCTGATTGTTGATATATCTTCAGCTATGTATAGTCAAAGTTTTTTCTAAAAGATTTACCATTTACATTTTAGTATATGAGAGATTCTACAGATACTCTGGTGTGACATTGTAGGATAAGCACTGGATTGTAAACTACAAGATCAGTGGGTCAAACCCACTAGCCAAACTTTGGAAACCCTAGACAGAGTTGGAATGGACTTGAAGGAATTTAACATCAACTGATATCATTGTAAATACTTGATATTGATATTTTATTGATATTGATATTACTTAATATTAATAATTTAGTCATGTCTGCCAAAGACTTTAAATGTGGTAGCATAGTGGTTATGAATAGGGCTGCGAACCGCAAGGTCAGCAGTTCGAAACTACCAGCTGTTCTGCTGGAGAAAGATGAGGCTTTCTGCTCCTATAAAGATTTACAGCTTTGGAAACCCTGTGCAGGGTCGCAGTGAGTCAGAACCGCCTCTATGGCACATAACCATCACCACCACCACAGATGTGAAGTGGTCTAGATTTATTTTAATTTATATTTTTCTGGTTTTTAGTGAGATTTAGTGTCTTTATGTATTCATTGTGTTCATTGGCTATTTGGATGTACATTTGAATTGCATGTTGATATTTTCCCCTGATCTCTACTGAGTTGTTTATTTCTTTCGTTTTGATTTTTAAGGTTATTCATTATCACTTTATATATATAAAAGATGTCTTTTACCAGTGTTTGGCTTGCCTTTTAGCTTTTTAAATGGTGTCTTTAGTTAAATAGAATTAAAGAAAATGTTTTACATTTTTTATTATTGAGAAATACACAGTAGTACATAATCAAAAAAGTGTGCATGTATAATTCAGTGCCATTGATTATATTCTTCAAGTCGTGCAACCATTCTTAATTTCCTATAGAAATTGTTCCTCCTCCATTAGCATATGGCTCACTGCTCCTGAAGTTTCCTGTCTAATCTGTAGAGTCACTTTGTCAGTTTGATCCCATTTAAAGAGTTCTTAAAAGAGCACAATGTTCAAAGCAAATATTCTTAACTAGTTAAGCTAAATTATTGTTCAGAAGTTTGAAATTTGTTTGTAATTAATTTAAACTATTTTTCTCTTTTCAGCATGAATCTGTCCGCTGGAGATGTGATAGGATTTGACATGGAATGGCCACCAGTGTACAGTAAAGGCAAACTAAGCCGAGTTGCTCTAATTCAGTTATGTGTGTCAGAGAGCAAATGTTACTTGTTTCATATTTCTTCTATGTCAGGTTGGTATCTCTTTGTTTATGTTTTACATTGATGTGATTGATAATTGTATTAATGTTTCCCCTGGACTGTAAAGCCTTTTCAATTGCTGATGTGTCTCCTTGCCTTACATTTGTTTAAATTTTTATATTCAGTTTTGCTCATTCACATCTTCTGTTATATTTAGTTTTCATAACATTCCTGCCAGGATTGTGAGATTGATATTACTCCTGTCTCAGAGAGGAGAGAACTAAAATTTAAAGGGGAAAAATAATCAGAAATATATTATTAGTATTAGTGGTGGCAGCATTCATACCATTTGTTTTTTCTTGTCATTTATAAATTAAGACATTTGCTTCAAGTTAGAAAAGAAATACTCAAGTTGAATGTGTTTTTTAATGTAAATTTAAGACAAAAACAAATTTAAATGTAAACTTTTTAAGGACAGTTTAGAAAGAAAGTCCATCATACTTGATCAAACTATTGAAATAACAATAAAATTTTATAGTTTTCCCTCAGGGATTAAAAATGTTGCTTGAAAATGAAGCAATTAAAAAGGTAGGTGTAGGAATTACAGGAGACCAGTGGAAACTCCTACGTGACTTCAACATCAAATTGAAGAGTTTGGTGGAACTGTCAGATATTGCCAATGAAAAGGTAGAGGTATACATGTATTTTTTCTCATAAATAATTTTGCTTCACAGAATGCCCCTTCTATTTGAATGTTAGATTAAATTTAAAAACAATGAACTATAGTATTGTTTTGTAACAAAAAGGAGTTCCAAATTGAAAACTTTCAGTTTTAATCCATTATTTTCGCATAAAATTAAGTACTCTCCTTTCCTATTTCTTGGTGCTATTTTAGTTTGTTTTTATATATTTGCATATTTTAAATGCTGTATTTCAGACTCATCTCTATAAGTCACTTTTAGTAGTAAAAACTTACTTTTTTTTTTAGTGAGAACATAGTATGGTACAATGCTTTTATCAGAAGTTTGACTATCAGTTCTATTACCCATATTCACAGATTAATGTAGCCATTAAATTGTTGTTGTTATTGTCAGGTGCCATCGAGTCGGAACCGACTCATAGTGA